GACCGAGCAGCGACACAGCTATTCACGGGAGCATTGGAGCAGTGAAGCAGCATTGCGCGAAAAGCGTCTCCGGTGAGGGTGAACACGGCTACCGGACAGCATTTAAAGTGAGTAGGCAATATTTGTGATAACGTCGCGATCAGTCAGGTTCGGTGGTGGACGGGCTGAAATGCCACGGCTCTCCTCTCAATCGAGATAGGTCAGAGACAGATTTAGGAATGAGATTAACGGGTCAGGAATGACTTGTACGGTCGCAGCGGAAATTTTTGGGTGAAAACTGGACCGGAAAAAAGGGAACTTGGTAGGTAGCTGTTGCGGAAGGTACCTACAGTACCATTTTACGCATCACGATGCTGTACCCTGTGACTAGATGGCCACTCTGAACTTAGAAGCAGTTTAGAGTAACATTGAAGTAACTTCGTGCGGTATTCATAAGGAAGAAGACTTCGCAGTTTTGTAGTTTCAAAAGGTTGTCAAGTGATATAACAAGACATAATTTCGTAATTTCATGGCGGATTTGGGTATTTAAGAAGGCGACACCAGTTGAAAGGGTATGGGCAGTAAGTTGTGACCTGTTGAATTCCCAGTAGGGTGAGTTTGAGTTTTTCGGGTAGTCAAGAAGAGAACCGTGAGCTGATAAAGGTCACCTGTAGTGCTAGTGAGAGTTCAGTCAACTAATACTCTTGAAAACTCTCCGAAAAAGAAAACAACCAAGAAGATTATATTTATTATGACCGTGAAGGTTAGACACGAACACGAGGATTGTAGCTGGGTGGGCATGGGCAGTAAGCTGCATCACTACCTGGACGAGCAGGGTTTCCTTGGTTTCCTGGTCGCCCGTCTCTTCCGGGTTGCCCGCGCCCTCCAGGCTGTCCGGCTGGACCAGGACGCCCATCGTTTCCACGATTTCCAGGTGTTCCAGGGCGTCCTGCATTTCCAGGAGCACCGACACTACCTGCTGGTCCTGGTCTTCCTGGCGTGCCTCTACCAGAAGTACCTGGTCTTCCAGGCTGTCCAGGCGGTCCAGCGGATCCAGGTCTTCCTGGGGCTCCGGCGTCTCCTCGAGGACCAGCAGGACCTGGCTGGCCAGCGTTACCGGGTCCTCCTGGGTTTCCAGGTCTTCCATTGGGTCCTCTGTTTCCAGGAGCTCCACTTGGTCCTGGTGGTCCTCGAGGACCGGCTGGGCATTGAACACAAGCAGTGCTACGACCGGGACATCTGATTGGAGCATAGGTTGCTGTGGCGTCATTGCCTGGTTGTCCAGGTGCTCCTGGTTGTCCTGAAGATAGTAAACTTCTCTTGGTGGTCGAATACTGAAACATGATGTGTCAACGAACCTGGTGCTCCTGGTCGGCCAGGTGGTCCTGGTGGTCCAGGTGGGCAGTTGACTCGTGGTGGTGTGCACTGGCAAAATGAGGGGAGACCACCCTGCCTCTTGATACGGAAGATAGAATTGAAGGGATTCTCACGGGGCTTGGAAGGAGGAGCGACCGACACTTGGATAGTCTATCATGTGGTTCCAGGCAGCATCGGTCTCGACGCGAAATACAGTGACTCCTTCGAGAACCTGGTCGTGCATCTCATTAATGGTGTTGTACAGAGATGGAACGACGATCAGGCAGGCGACGATGGTCAGTATGGAAAAGGCCGAAGCCACACCAATGAGAATCTTTTCTTCCGACATGGTCTGGTTACTGGACGAATTCGTTTTCTTTTATACTCCGACTTTCTGTTCTCAATTCGTGTTTTCTTTGCTCCTGATCGCTAAACTCGCTTAATGGGGTTCAAATCATCAGCTATCTAGTAAATCAGGTCAAACCAAATCGAAATGCGCAATGCGTTGTAAAGTCAACCACGTTCTATGTGCGGTCGGAGTGTCATTG